TATGTAAATCGATATTGCGCAGGCAATGCTATGGGCTACATACGTTTAGTGCGCTCTGGCAGCATACATGCCAACTACAGCGCCAGCCTTTATCTACCAAAGTTCGATGAGAATTTGCAATTTATGTCTGCTTGTCGCGAACAAGAATTGCATAATGTTACTGTGGCGGCGGCTGAGAATTTCGAAGCGAATATCAGCAATTTAGTGAAGAGCTTCTCTGATAGTACAGATTACTTTAAAGTGAGTTGTAAAATGTGCAAATAAGATGTTGTTCTTAAAAACAAAAATGCATTATTAAATATTTCAGTTACTTGTGGAAGCATTCCATCCCTTCTTCCGTAATCCACACAATCTACATTTGAAAAATTTCTTTCTCATTGTGCCGGCACTCGCTTTAAATTATGTGGAGCATATGTTGAGTGTCAAAGAGAAAATCAATAAGAAGGATCGCCATGAAGCGGTGCTATTCAATGATGGCTTCGCCGTAGGTTTAGCATACATTTTAAAGCTATTAAATCAAATCGATGACTTCTATGCGTTACATTGGTTCGCAACGGTGCGTGAACGTTTCAATGCGGAGCGTCGCAAAATACAAGAAATGTTGCAGGATATTAAAAAGTCGACTAACACACGAGGCGGCGCGAAAAGTAAGTCAAAAGCAGCGCTTGCAACACAAAACAATGATACGGAAAAGTTGCAACAAACGCTTGCGCTGACCGAACGCCGCATAAATGCACATCAAATGGAGTATAATCTGCTCTATTGCAACTTATGTAGCGCGAAAATATTTTTTCAATAATTAAAGTGATACATACGAGCAATTGCTTGTTTTTTGCATACATTTATTATTTTATACATAGAATTTGTTTTACTATATGTATTGTTTATATATGAATTATTACACTTCAAGAAATTAGAGTAAAATCATTATACACATTTATATTAATAAAAAGTCTGGTGAGAAAAAATGCATTTAGTCACGTAATATTACTAAAATATTTGGAAGCATTGACATTGATATGTATGTACTTATATTGAAGGAGTAAGAAATACAATACCCTAGGCAGCCAGTTATTGGAGTCCGGTTTTGTACACAAGTAGTTTCATATATGCAAACCTATATTTGTAAACTTAATTGTCGCTTCATAGTAAGATAAATATTTTGTTAAGCTGAAGATGCTTTATACATTAATTAAACGTTGCTCTTATACCATCCAACTAATTCGTGCATAGAAAAGTATTTTCAGTCTAAGAGTGGTCTAAAAATATGTTGATAATTTTTCTTGCATATGTTAATGCTTACAGAAAAGTTATAAAATAGAAAACATTTGGCTACATATTAAAAACAACTGACGTTCAAGCTTTGGGAAGTGCTTGAGCTAAAAAATTTTCAACAAATGCCTTCGGTAAAAAACGCTACTTAATGCTCCATAAATTACCCGTTGGTCCCTGCTGTCCTTTCTGATCATAAAGCTACATAATGGGTATGCCATAACCTCAAATTTGTTCTGATGCTTATGAAGTTGGCTCCGGTTTATGTTAATAATAGATCCTTTAAATTGAGAACGCCAGCTGAATCTATCTTGCTGCTCTCATTAAGAAGGATTTCGAAAAAAAGCTTCGGATGCTTTTTGTTTTAATCTGTTTTGTTTAGAAATTAAGCTAAAGATGCGTTAATAATACAATGCATAGATACAATATGCAAAACTTAATATAATAAAAATATATGTAATATGTATACGAGGTACATTCTGCTTAAAAAGTATAGATAGATATATAAAAATGTTAAGTCTTTATACGTTTGCAATAGTTAGTCAATGGAAGAAAAGTTTCAGTGCTTCAAGTCCACTAAAGCAATTTTTTCAATACCTAGCTGCGTTTTAAGGAAAGATGTGCGAGAATCTTTAATCTGCTAGCAATGCAAAGTTCTAAAATTGTTTTGAACTGCGAACTATAATTATAAAAGTAGTGTTAGATTTGATCGCTTGTTAAAAAAAACACACACACACACACTCCGAATCAAAGGATATTTGGCTACATCTGCTCGTGGGATAATTTAAGGCACTTGCTAACACATAGTGGAAGAGTTTTTCTTATTCAAGTTTTTTTCTTCTTCTTGTTCTTTAGAATCCCACCACAACGGTGTGCTCATTAGCCGCACTCGTGGGCGCATGTTTCACGTCAACATGCACTAGCAGCGATGCCAACTCCAGCTCCTCGCTAAATTTATTGCGCAGCGTGACGCTGCGATAACCCGTTCGAATGCAATTCAATGGATAACATGCCTCTGCAATGAAATGCGTCTCTGCAAACATATCTTCGTCCTGTACTTCGAAACGTAGCAGCGCGAAATGTGGATTGCGAACGGTGAACTCACAGCTTTCATTCCACACTGGGTTGAAGCCATTCTCGCTTACTTTAGTACGATGCTTAGTGCCCGTATCAAAACTAGCGCCGCATATTTCCACCGTAACTAAAGGATTATTTGATCTGCCGCCGCGGAACAAATGCCTTCCGGCAATGATACGTATCGTTATGAATCGCTCCTCCAATGCGCTGATGGCTAGTGGGTTATTCGGATCAAAGCCATCGACTTGCATAAATTTTGGCTTTAGCAAATAACCACAATTACCATTGTCTCGAAATTTCGCTTGATTCAGTTGCATGGCTTTGTCACCGGTTTGGTAGTTGAGTGCAATCATTTGTGAGCCCACATTCCAAAATGGTACCGGATTGAAATTAGATGAATCTAAACGTTGACCCTTTGGATAAACGCGACTGATTTGGTTGCGGTGATATTGTAGAAAGAGCATACAGTTTTGCTGCAGGAACTGTTTCTCGGCTTTGGTTTCTGGGAAGCTGGACATTTCGTAGAATACCCAGGAATGTTCACGGAATGGCACACTGCGGAAGTATATGATCAAATCGGACATCTCCTTGGCTACACGTGCAGAACGTTCTTTCTTACGACGTTCTGTCGCCAGTTGATTGGCGATTTGCGCGCCCTCCTGTATGGCTTTGATCCAATCGTAAGCCAACTCTTGATTATCAAACCCTATGATAAATGAATTTTGCATGGTGGGTGTCTGAATTTGCAACTGGAACAAAATGCCGGGCTCATTTGATTCAGACAAGTGTACAATGGCGCCATGTATGTCAATGGAATCGGTGCGTGAGACATTTTCGCTGTTATTTTCGTCGCTAAACGAATTGTAATCATCGCCGGCAGAGTCTATCACCTGTAGAGGAAACCAATGTAACGTATTTTGTTTAAACGCAGAAATACATATGTACGTTCAGGATTAGTTTATCTCTTATGGCTCCAACACGGAGACCGATCAGAAAATCCAGATACTTATCCGTTCAATCATTTCATCTTGTCTTGTTAAAAAAATTTACTACTTACCTTAACATAATTTGCCGGAAAGTGACGCTGCACCATGCCACCATAATCGCCGCGCCACCACATTGACGTATTTCTTTGCACATTTGTGATAATCGCATGCTTTGGAAATGACAATTCGTCCGGTTTATTAGCTTTGTAACTATAAAGCGCTTTACATGTCACACGATCATCCAAACTAGGATCCATATAGCTGGATGCATCATTGAAGTCGCCGCCATTATGATGCTCCATTGATGTCTGACAGGCCAAGAGCTTTTGACGCAGTAATTCTTGAGACACCGGGTACATCAGTTTAACATTTCGATAAAGCGGGTTTCTCATGTAATAATTGACTAGCGATACAAGAGATTCAAATTGTATGGTGTCCACAACATAGAGGCGACCCTCCTGCATGATGCGACAATGCTTGATTTTGCGATTTATTCTGAATGATATGACAAATGCATTAGTACTTTGTACCGAAGGACGCACAAGGAATGAACCCACATCGAGTTTGATGAGCACTTGCTCTGCCTGTTCTTTGGTTGTATTTGGATGAAACCATTCCTGTGTTTCATGCTTTTTGGGTTGCGGCACTGGCTCCTTCAGCGTGATCGAGAACTCTGAGCTGCGTAGCATGTTTTTACGATAGTACACAATAAGTGAGTACAGCGAATCGAAGACAAAATTATCGACTAGATAGTATTTGGTGGCGCCATTCTCATGTTTCAGCTTAATGCGACAGTGATTAGGGCGATTGCGACGCCAAAATGACAAACTATAATCACCCACAAACGTGGCAGACTCGCGCACTAAAAATGTGCCATCACCAAGATGCTTATAAGCCTCCAAGAGTTGATCAGCCTCTTGACGACCACCTAATTTTGATTTTATTTTTTTTTTTTTTTAAAAAAAAAACATAATGCAAATTCAAGATTTCAAATTTAGCAGAATTACCTTCCAATTTTCCATGGAACCAATTTTCACCAAAGTGCAGCTCATCATTGACAAAATTATCCTTCGATTTGGGCATTAATGCTAATGATGAACCCTGGGACATAGCGTTGTCATCATCATCAGCGCTTCCAACATTGTTTTCATCAGTGTGCGAAGAATAAATTAATTGCTGCTGTGTTAATACANATCAGCCTCTTGACGACCACCTAATTTTGATTTTATTTTTTTTTTTTTTTTAAACTTAATGCAAATTCAAGATTTCAAATTTAGCTGAATTACCTTCCAATTTTCCATGGAACCAATTTTCACCAAAGTGCAGCTCATCATTGACAAAATTATCCTTTGATTTGGGCATTAATGCTAATGATGAACCCTGGGACATAGCGTTGTCCTCGTCATCAGCGCTTCCAACATTGTTTTCATCAGTGTGCGAAGAATAAATTAATTGCTGCTGTGTTAATACGAAATGATACAGGTTCCAAGCCTTGTCCACCGGATCCTTGAAGTATAACATTCCCTCTTTAAGGAAATTGCGAACGTTTTCATTATCATCACCAGTACCACCGCTGATGGACGATCTACTTCCACTGTTCGACGAGATACCAGAGCCACCACCTACTATACTCGGCCCACCAGGGCAACCGTCTTCATATTCGGGCAGTTTTTTATGTTTAAGTATAATTTTGCGACGCAGTTGATGTGGCGATGGAAGTTGTACTTCGGCGCGATCACAACGCTGGGTCAGCAGCATGTCACCGAAGACCTAAAAATAAAAAATTTAGATGTTGATAATTAAGCTTAAAGCTTTAAATTTAGCTTTTTTAATGTATTCATACCTCAATTAACGCCTGTGCCATGTTACGCTGCTGCTCCAATGAACAGTTCTGCTCAATTGATAAAATCACTGGATACTCGGAANATCACAACGCTGGGTCAGCAGCATGTCACCGAAGACCTAAAAATAAAAAAAAATAAAAAATTTAGATGTTGATAATTAAGCTAAAAGCTTTAAATTTAGCTTTTTTAATGTATTCATACCTCAATTAACGCCTGCGCCATGTTACGCTGCTGCTCCAATGAACAGTTCTGCTCAATTGATAAAATCACTGGATACTCGGATGTTACAAACGCGTGTTCTTTTATCGTTTTGATCACATCTTTAAATTTAATTTTTGAAGTCATCGTGTGGCCGTGAAAAATATAAGGCAGATTATCGGCCCCATTCCAGCAGTCTAGCTCTATACAACGACAACCCATGCGCAAAGCTCGCGCATATGCTTCACATGACGATTCACTGGAAAACTGGTCGCCTGTGAGATAAGTGTTGTGCGACGACGCTATCCAGTAGGCAGATATAGGTTGTTTCATGTCCATGTAAATACGATCACAGTTCCGATCCCAGAGATCGTTGTGTTTAGAGAAGAGATAATCAAGAAATTCACTCGGTGTGAAATAAGGCTCTTGCACATCGCGTTCAACGTCTTGCAAGAAGTCACGTATGAAGTTTGAAACGGATGCATCATCGCGTCCCATAATCTCATGTTGCTCCTGTATCAAAAAATTTTGGAATTCACGTAGTGTTACTGCTTCGCCATTTTTCGAGTATGGAAATGTGCCAGGTGTGCTATAAAAGATTTCTTCCAGAAAGTTATGTGGCAACAATAACTTTCGGTACAATCTGGAAAAATCATCAAAGCGTAAGTCATTTTTACGCCTAACATCATCTTCAGAGAAACATTCCATCAGCTTGCTGGTGGTCATTTTGCAGCTAATACTCGCCAAAAACGTTTTAAAATCTTTAACTGTTACCTGACCACCATCTTTGGAAGACTGCATGCTTGAGTTTTCAATAGCATAATATTCACGACGAAGCCAACGTTCTACTTGCAGTGGATAGGGTGCAGTCACGGTGTCCTGCACCATGTAGCGAAGACCGCGTACCCAATTGTCTGCCTCTTGTTCCGATAGTGCTACAACTGAGAAGGTCTTTAGTTTAAATGCACTGCCATGTAGCACGACAAAGCACTTGGCCGGCTCGAAGCGTTTCGAATCTTCAGCACAATTGCGAAATTCTTTCGAGCACTTTCCAACTCGTATCTCTCGTATTTCACGCAATTCCAGCGATCCTTCATAATCGGTACGTGTATCCGCCATAACTGAAGACCATAGAAGCTGACGAGTTTCCCGCACCAACATCAGACGACGCTGTTCTGGGCGATGCTTAGAATAGAGCTTGGTGATTATGGTGCCACGTTCAAGCATACAAATGGTTTGCTCCATCTCTCCCAATGTGGGCACACTCATTGCGCTGAAACAATTCAACATGGTGGCTTTGCTATTCAATATGTATCGATGAAGGTAAGTGATCGCCGAAAAAGTAGTTTTTGTTTGTTTACTGGTCAATAATCACTTGTTGGCCCTATTTGTATATTTTTGTTCAAGGAACTTCCTGTTGCTTGTAGAGTTTTCTTTTTTTGTTTTTGTTTTTGCGTATACTGCCTGTACTTTAGCAAGTTTCATAGCAGTGCCATATTTTAGATTCGCCCAACCACACAATTCAATATTATACACACGTTTGTTTCTATTGCTATCACTACAATGGAATTAACAAAGTTTTTATCATATTAATTAGTTTCCAATACGATTATTTGTAAAATTAAGGCACTTTGCAAGAAAGTTTCCTTTTGTCGTTGTTTTGGACGAGCGCATTGCCAGCGTGAATAAGAAATGAACATATGGTGCCGTTGAAAATTAATTTGACGCCGTTTACTATCCAGTGGCGGCTTAAAACGCGCATACAACGGCCGGTAGCAATATTAATTAAAGTGTAACCACTGTATTATTTCCTTCCCTTTAGATTTCCTTCCGCTTTTGACAAAATTTAATCACAGCTCCGGTGCGTGTATTTCTTGGTTTTTTGTGAAATTTGTATTACAAAATTACAAGTAAATGTGGTAACTTAGTTTTATTAAACAAAGCAAAGAATTAAATTCTCCAATGCGTTATTCGAGTAAATACGAACGAGTTAAGCGAAATTCGGACACGTAATTATGTACCATGCGAGTTGAATCTTCATTTTGACTCCAAAAGAATTCTAAAAACTTTCACACAGACACTGAGGAAAGATATGCTTATTACATGGAATACCTAAAACGAAACCAGCGAATCAAATGTAAGTGCTTTGACTTCTGAAGTTTTATGAGTGCCATTTATTTTATGATTGTATTTAAATATGTTCTGTATATAACTGAGTTAGGTTAGGTAGTAATATTGGCGGAGTGAAAATGGGATTTGAACATATTTTTTTTTTACAAGCTTTTATTAAGTTTCCCCTATGAGTAATCAAATCTTGCAATTAATTTTTTACCAACTTCTCGATGAGCCAGAGGCTTGAAACTTCACACATGGCTCAGAACCCAATGACAATGCAATATGAAAATTGAATCAATACGCTAAGTGGCGCGGCTGTCGAGATATTTAAAAGCACCGTATTTATGATCCGATATGGTTCATATTTAGAACCTATTATACTTAAATGGAAAAAATAACTTAATAAAACTTAGCCGACGAAGTGCGGGTGCCGGTTTTTCTTATTTATTAGCCACTAGTAAAAGCTTGTCTTTAAAAAAATTGATTACATTACTTGTTTAATGTGGATCGTGAGAATACTAAATACATTACGTGATTCGTGGCAAAGAAATATCAAAACAAATTATGCATACTTACTTTTTTTTATTCAATTTGTTCAAAAAAATTTTACACACAGAAAAAAAATAATATATTCGTGAGACTATGGACAAAATATAGTAAAACCGAATATTTACTCTTTCTCTCTGACGGCAGGGTTTCTCTAAAAGGACTTTGAAATTTAAAAGATATGGTTAATTCAAAATATTATTTACAAAATTCAGTGCATTGTAGAGAAATTCAAGAGAAAATTCTGCAGAATTACACAATATTAAATTTTTTGGTGCATAATGACGAGTTTGTATGGAAAATATCCTTTTAAAACTTTGTTTTTGTTGTTGTTGTTGTAGCGGCTACTAAGCCCCGTTCGGGTCGGTTCATCCATCAACGTTGTCGTCAATTTCAGCTAGGAGGAGGCCCAGGAAGTGTGCGACTTCCACAGGGGCTGTCCATAGGGAGAGGGGCGTCAGCTGAGTGGGGTTCTCAGTTCACATGCACAGAGGTACATGTTCTTCAATATCCTTGAAAATATGCACATATTTTTTTTTTTAATGTATGCATATGTATGTTAAAGACTAATATTAGCACGACCACATCGCCGAATTTCGTCCTGCTCACATAATTAGCGTAAACAAATTAAATTAATTATAAGCGCATTTTCAGTACCTCGTAAACCAAAAACGTTTGATGTCTTTAAATTATACATAATCTTCTCATATTGTCATTCGACATTGCACTGATTTCTTACGGCAGAGCTAAAATTTAAGAACGTAGTTTTGCTATCATTTCTGTGTGTTTTGAATTTTTTGTTTTTGTCCCGCGGAGTTTTATATCATTTACACATACATATATATCCTGAAAAGGTGCAAGTGGTATTGTTAAAATAATAGTGTACATAATAAAAATTATTAAAATTCACTGTTGTGATTTACCATATTTTATTACATAAATTCAGAGTATAATAATACATGTTTCCTTTTTGTTTTTGCCTATACCCAGCATAAATAGGAATATAGCGAACACAACACATAAAATACATAATTACAGTGAATATTTACTTACTTACATACATAAGTATGTATGTAGGTATATATAATTGAAATAGTATAATAAATACAAAGGATTGCAACTGCCTCAAAATTAGTTCATTTGTTTAATTAAAAATCAACAATATTGAGCTGCTATTGCCATTATTGTGATTAATATTTGTGATACGTAAATATGTTTGTAATTATGTAAACTTAACACAACTCACTGTTTCAAGTAAAAGTAAATGTAAAAGTTTAAAGCTTTTAAGAAAGCCAGTTTAAATTCAGTTTTCAAGTTTGTTTACGCACATAGTATCTTAGTTATGTATTTATGTATGTACATACATATATGCGATTTGTGAAAATGTGTTTTTAGGAATTACATATACATACATATAAGTGTGAGTTAAGATTAAGTGTTGAGTATTGTTGCGTAGGAATGTTTGTGTATGAGTATTTTGGTTTGTTTATTCTTTTTAATTTGAATTCTGTATTGCTGTTTTCGCATCGTATATTACCGCGCATGTGAGTCGTGAGATCAATTGAAAGCCGGCGAGATTCGGTATAATTTTTTATATTTATATATAATACTTAGCCTTAAAATTAGTGTCGTCTATTGAGTTAATCAATTCGCTTATTGTATGTAAATGCTCCATGGGACCTTTTTTTCTTACTCGTATTGAGAGTTGTGGTTTTTTCTAAAGACATTCTACTTTTGGTAACCCATTTAGTTATTTTTTTTGTAATTTTTCTCCTGTTGTTTATTTTTAGTTATTTTTTTTTAATTACATTAACAGTTTCTTAAAAACGTTATTATAATATTAAACTCGGGGGCAGTTTGAGTTTTCTAAAATATTAAAATTTCCTTTCTTTAACTTTTTTTATGTTCTTTTTAATTTTTATTTTAATATCAATGTTTGATTATAAAATTTCTTATTCATAATTTAATGCGTAAAGCGTTTACTTACATAATTTATTAATAACTGATTATTTATTAGAGCGCAAGCATATTTTCGTTTGGTTTAGTTCGGTTTGACTAGGAAATTTAGTGTTACAAAGATTCTTTAAAAAAAAAATACATGTGCATGCTTACATGTATTTTATATAATCCATCTTTGGATAGAATCTAAAAGAGGAATAACCAAAGACGGTAGAACATCATGAAACTGCTGCCATGCATTTCCGTGGTAAGTTTCAGATAGCTTTTTATCTAGCCAAAAACTTGTAGCTGTTTAAATTCTTGTTTTTCAAATAATATTTTTCATAAAAAATAAAGTAGGTCTAAGGAGCTTTATAAAATGACATTTTCATAAAAATTTTCTATTTATAAAGCATTTAAAGTCTTCTTTATTTTTTATGAATTTTTCTGTTAATCTACAAATTTTTTTCCCGCCAATAGCTATAGACGCGCAACAGACAACAACTTTCTGTTTTGGGTGTTTTTTGAATAAAACTATTTTCTCCAAAGAAAGGTCGAAAATACAACCACGGTTTCAAGCATAAAAATAAACTCCACTCCTCCATGAAACTTTGCAAGTAGAGTTATCGATACATATTGTCAGTGACTAAGGCTAAGCGCATAGTGGAGCGGCGAGCAAAGAGCACCGAGCAAAGCGTCGATTACACACGTATTTTTTTTCAATGGGAGCGCACATATTTAGTGAAGAGCAAAGCGTACATACACGTTTGTAATTGACGCTTTGCTCGATTCTATGCTCTCTGCTCCACTATGCGCTTAGCCTAATGCATCATTCAATGATTTTTACAACCATATTGCTCTCTTATGATATACCGTTATATTTAGGTGCGTATGATTTATGTTTTTAAGTATTTTATTAAATGCTGTGAAGTTTGATTTGATTTGGTATTTTTTGGTATTTTTCGCGCACCTGATTGCACTTAGATTTTAGTTCGCTAAATCAATATGACAACTATATTGATTGTAGTAAAACATTGAGCCTGAAATTAAGCTCTTTTTATGTACCTTTTTATCGCTACACTTTCCATTTTCCTAAGCCTTATTCTTTCGCAGTCCTTTTCTTTCGTGTCGCCAGCACAATTCCCGCTTCGTTGTATATATGTATTGTGGTAGTATATTTTTATATTACACATACATACATAAATATATTCAACTCCATTTGTTTAAACGCGAATTATGCCCTCAACTGCCTGTCTTTTCACCTACAAAATAACTTCACTTCCTTCGCTTCACTGCTTAGCTCCTCCACCTGGTCCATAGGATGAGGCATCACTTATGCGACGTGTTAAAGTTGCCTTGCGATTTAATGTGGCCGATGAGTGATTGGATTGCAGTGTATTGGTACTTAAATGATGATTGGAACGATGTGAAGGATAGTAGTTGAGTGGTGCCATATTCGGATTATCGATGCGTGTTGGTGACGAAACTACGGGGCGTGGTGAAACACGTTGTAAAGTATTGATTACTTCCTGTGGTTCTTGATATCCAGAATCCAAGTCATCATGATAGGAATCCATAAGTGGGGTGGGATCTTCATAGTCATAATCCACGAAGCCATTGTTGTCGAAAGACTGAAATATTAAAATCATTTGAGTTACTGGTTTCACACTGAGGTAAAACCCATGTATTCAAAACAAATTGTAAAACAAACATTTTTAAAATAATTTTACTTGTTTTTATTTGAAAACGCATATTTTGGAACATACATAAATTAAACATTTTAGAATCTCATCGGAATACGAGAATTTTCAAATAACAAACCATCGATTTCAAAAGCGATTTTAATATGTTCATACTAAAAACTAAAGTATCAATTTTAGAATATGAATTGGGCATATTTTTTTCTCAAAACTAAAATAAATATTGTAGGTACATAACCTGGGTCAAACGTTTTTAAAAATAAAACGTTCCATACAAATTTGAAAACGTAAATTTCTCTGGGCAACTTTGATTCAAGTTTAACGCTCAAATCTTACTTTTTTGCAGTATAATCTTTGTTTGGATTCCAAAAATGCATACAGCTGTACTGCATTCATACGAAACAAAACTTTTTTTGCTAACTGAATTTTTTATTCACAGAAATAAATTTATGAGTCGTCGCTACAAAACGATATTAGCTAACAGCGAATTGGTCGTGGAAACAAGTTATTAAAATGCATATACACACAGTTATGGGAAAAATAAGGACACAACACTTTGACCAGTTTTGGCTTTTTTCATTCATTTGTTTATAAACCACATTTAAAAATTTATGCAGAAATTAAAAAAAAAATCACAACAACAAACTTTTTATACAAATTTTTTAGAAAAATTCTAAACATATAGTTTGTAGCCCCTTAAATTCTAGTAATATATGGAAAATTTCAAGCGTCTAAAACGCGAGACAGACGGGCATGCTTATGCAGATTAACTAGCACACAAATGCACATAATAATTTTACCCTGATAGACGGCAGTAATGCGGATTAACGAACCGCAAATGCGTGGGTTCGAGTCCCACGGCCAGTAGAACTTTCATTTATTACTTTTTTATTCATTTCTTTTATAAGTTCTGTATTATTTTTAACGTTGCTTTCAGTTAGTTGTTGTTGACTTTTTTAATAAAATTTAACACTAAAAAATTAAATTAGCTAATAGTGAAATAAAAAACGTGATATAAACTAAAACAAATGAAAATAAAAAAAGTAAAAATATATATACTAGTGTTCGCCCAGCGGTTGAAATTCAACCGCTAAAATTAAGGATAGTTTACGTGAGTTGAGTTGAGCTGAAATAACATTAGTTGGAATGGGTTAAGTGGAGGAGTTTAGCTTAGTACTTAGCATAACATAACATACCATAACATAAGATTAAATAATATAACATATGCAGCATAACACACCACAATATAACATTGCACAATCTTCAGTTGCATTTCCTTTTTATCCCTATCACTTTCTTCCTCTCTATCTTTGTCTCTATCACTTTTCATTTTTATGTTTATGTTTATGTTTATCTTCACCTTCATGTTCATGTTCATATTCACGTTCAAGTTCATGTTCATGTTCAAGTTCATGTTCATGTTCATATTCATGTTTATCTTCATCTCCATCTTCATCCAGGTTTCCTTACTTTTATTCTAATATTTACCTTTATCCCTTTCTTCTTCTACATTTTCAACTTTACCTTCTGCCTTGCATGAATCTTAATCTTCATAAATCTGNATCTTCATCTCCATCTTCATCCAGGTTTCCTTACTTTTATTCTAATCTTTACCTTTATCCCTTTCTTCTTCTACATTTTCAACTTTACCTTCTGCCTTGCATGAATCTTAATCTTCATAAATCTGATTCCTAAACTGCTGCTTAGCAGATTTCTTTAATTCAGTAACAATATTAAAGCATACTTAGTAGACATATTTAGGAGGCATTTCCGCCCCAACCATGTACATGTACGGCTTTAGTATTCATCTTCATCTTCATCTTCATCTTCATCTTCTTCCTCGTCTTGGTCTACATCTTGTTCTTCATTTTTATCTTTTCCTTTATCCTGATCTAAATATGTCCATTCTTTTCTTCATTACATATTCACCCCCACCATTGTTATCAGGTTAGATATTTAAATTTTCCTTCCTCTTTGTCTTTATATTTAGGTTTCTTTACTTTTATTTTAATTTCTGTATTTATCCCTTTCTTCTTCTCCATACTCAATTTAACCTTCTTCCTTGTTTGAGTATAATCTATTCGTGCACATACATACATACATCTTATTCCTAAACTGCTGNTAGGTTTCTTTACCTTTATTTTAATTTCTGTATTTATCCCTTTCTTCTTCTCCATACTCAATTTAACCTTCTTCCTTGTTTGAGTATAATCTATTCGTGCACATACATACATACATCTTATTCCTAAACTGCTGCTTAGCATGTTTCTTTAATTCACTATCAATATTAAAGCATACATTTAGGGGGCATTTCTGCCCCAACCATGTACATGTATGACATTGGGATTGGTGTGACCTTTGAATTGATTTTTTCGCTCTATTTCAAACTAAATAAAACTTTAAAAATTGCCTGCACATCAGCATCAAAATACCTTTCTAATGATATATAATTGTGTATACCTTAGAAGTATAGTTTAGCCGTAAAAGGGGTGTAAAGGAAACATGATTGCCTATTTATATAATTGATTTATAAGTTAAATTAAAATGCAATAAAAATAAAAGAAATTTAACTCTAAAAAATTTAATTAACTAATAGTGAGATAAACAGCGTGATATAAAATAAAACAAATGAAAATAAAATAAAGTAAAATTATATATATTTATAAGTCAAATAAAATGTAAAAAAAATAAAAAAACAATAAAAACAAAAAAATTTGTAGCACGCAACTCTCCCCACTCGGCTACCGCGCGCCAAATTCGCTTTCTTTGTTTGCCTATTTGTAAAAAAGACAAGGGTAAAGTTTCAAATTTTTCTTAAACCGACCTTTGAAAAAAATTCAAGAACAGCATCAAAAATCTCATTACTATGATTCCATTGAAACACTTTTTAAATGTTTTTGTGCGAAATTTTAAGCTTAAACTGTTTTGTCATCTGTTTTTTGTATGGGGAGTGATGCAGTCTAATGTACATACATTACAAAAAACCCAACCAACAAACATAATACGTGGTTGCCTTACCTTCACCGGTACACGCTTGACATATTCACGATACGTTGGATTTGGCACTTTTGTACGATAATCCACCACTTCATAGTGGCCATCTTGTACAACATTCCCATTTGCCACTGGATATTCTGAAATAAAGTGTCGCGTGCCGTGCGGGGTAAGGGTGGCCCATAGTAAGCGGCTATCGTTTGCCAATTGCGTCTGCAAAGTATCGCGATTGTTGGTCGTAGTGCAGGGATACAAAATACCACCAGCCATAAATGGATTGGCTTTGGTTGAAGATTCACCCAAAGCGCCCATGCCACTCTGTTTGATATTCGAATCGTGATAGGACAAATTGCAACTGGAAAATAGAGTGCTGCAATAAAGAGTTATATTACTTTTATAAAGTGCAATGCAATGCAAAAAAATTATTTAAACAACAACAAAAAAGAGCACACACATTTAAATATGTGTCTCTCTTATACTTACTCTCTGCATTTGAGCAATATGACTGCCAAGAGGCCACCCAAAATTATTACACCAACGCAACACGATATTAAGACAAAGAGCCAAGTGTTCTCCAAGCCTTTCGAATCGACACCAGTCAATTCGACAAATTCGATGCCACCACTTTCGCGTGGATTTGGGCTGGGGTCGCACAAGAAGGGCGCAAAGCATGGATGAGTGTCGTTTGTTGGTACTGCGGCCGCTATAATGGCTGTGCGCGGCAGCAGAAAGGACGGCAAAGGGGGTGGCGGCATGGAGAGTATGGAGTCAGGCGGTGGGCCTGCATAGTTGCAATTGCCAACGCAGCTAGCAATCATTTTCGTCGACTGTTGAGCGAAAGAAAAAAAAAGTGAAAAAGAACACACAACTTTTTTTTTTACTTGCACTTTAAAGCAAATAAATATAATTATTTTTGTTGAAGTCTCTTCTCTGCCATTAGCACACCAATAATTTACCAGTGCAGGAAACACAACTACATCGTAAAATATCGATCGAGAATACACTTGAGGCAAATTGGCAATTAATTTTCACTGCAAAACTGAAGTGTATGTAGGCTTTTCAAAAAACTTTCCACGCACATTTTATAAGCACAACAATTTATTTATACAATGGACTTACCCTTTGTTATTTAATTTTTCGATTTCAATTGCTGAAGAATTTTATTTTTAAGCAAAAGTAATTCTAGGAAAAATTAAGTCGTACTGCACTGCTTGTAAAGGAACATCTAACTGTGAGATTTGAGAAAATTCTGTATCACTTGAAACTGTAAGCTGTAAGAGAGTGTCCTGTGAGAGCGTGCGGTTGTGATTGTTTTCATTGTGTACAGTATTTTTTTTGCAACGACTTTCGCTTGATTTAGCGTAATTTTTTTTTGAATAGAAAACAGTTTGCAGTAGTTATTTTTTTTTTTTATTTAATATTACTTTTATATCTACTACTTGCTTTTGTGTAATTAATACAACGCTGCATTAGTATTATATCGAACTGAGGGTTGCACACTTTGTAAATAAATAATAACAATGGTTGCAACCCCTATAAGTATGCTTTGCTAACATACTTTTCCTTCCTTCTCTTTTTGTGGCTGTCGCTGTATGCAGTGCGCATTTGCTGCATGGAAGCAGGGTGGTTCGAAGAACGTGAATTTTTTTATGTACACTTACGTGCAAAACGTGAGCGACTTTTTGTCGTAAGCTAGGAATTAACATTTTTGCGATTTTGGAGGCTTTGCCAATTTTTATTTATGGAGAAAATGAACACCTTCCACAAAAAAAAAATATAATAATTGCCAAAAATCAACGGGAAGCTACTTAAAATATGGTAAAAAACTGTATACTCAGAATGTTTCTCGGAAACCTTATTAAAAAGCTTAAAAATGTTTAGGAAATTTCGTCGAAGTTTACTACTTTTTGTACAAGGTTTATAATTTTACTTCCATTGTTTTTGTTTGGTAACAAGCTACACTTTCATTAAAAAATAGGTTTGTTTCTTTACTTTCCTAGCAGATAATTATCAGGAAGAAGAAGAGTGGGAAAATTTAAAGAATTACGCTCACTGTCAATTAGTTAAGAAACGCAAACTAGCAGAAACTAGGAAGTCAACAGCTGATCGGTGTATTTGACAAATGAAAATACTTGCGCGATTTTTTTATTTGCTTTTTATATTTCATAAGTATTCAGTTTGCAATATTTCATCAATATTTAATGACACTCTCTTTCTTATTAACAAAATGATAAAAATATGCAGATTAAAACAAATAAAAGCAATTGTGGTTAACCTCACTTCTTTACGTTTCAATAGCTGTTTGTTCATTTTTACTAGCAGAAGAGGCAAAAAAGTAAGAGCGTAAGAGAGAGCTAGAGCTTCCAGTTTCTGCTAGCTTTTTGTTTGGATTGAGAAACGCTTTCCAGCAGAAATTAGTGATAAATGTGTTTTTAAGAAACAAAGCTTAATATTAAACTATAATGGGTCTTCCCTATTTTTATTTTCTCCGCTGTACATTACACCATACCAACTTACTAGCAAATCAAAACGAAGTCGCTGAAGACCCCTAGGTCTGAAGTATTTTTGCCAGACAATTAAAAGAAATTTATTTTGGCCGAACCTAGGGATCGCCTTTTTACACTTTTCGATAACACATTCTTTCGACAAAACAAAAATTTAAACAGTTTTATTGGTAATATCAAACTACTTAATTAGCAAACGTTTAATGATTTGAGGTGAGCTTTAATTTCCTGACATTAGGATGCTACGTAAGGCCTTAAGAACTGAGATCTGGTAGCTAATTACTAGCACGGGGTACTTGCGGGAAATAAACTTCAGAACAAAAAATGTTTCTCCTCAAGATAAAAACATTCATGTATCATACTCTAAGGGCCGAATACCTGTACGTTCGGTCAAAGCTTTGTTTTTTTTTTTTTTGAAAGTGCCCTGAACTATTTTTGGTTTGCTGGAAGGTGGTGCGGTTTAATGCACAATAAACGTATACTTCTTATTTGAAATTGGAACTGCTTGTCAGTTCGTACCAAGACCAAAACCTCTCGCCAAAAAGTGCTTCTGCACTTGGTCCTCCTGTTATTTCCTTTTGCGCTCTCGCTTTCACTGTCTATTCATGGAAGCAAAGTCGAAGGCTTATTTCACCGGATCATCTTTCTTGATGCGCAGGACATAATTTTATACGCGTAACTACATATGTATGTCTATGTCGTTAAATAGCTCGTACAGTTCGTCATTTCATCTTCTTCGAAATCCGTCGCCCACATGAACAGGTCCATAGGTATTGCGTAAAATAAATAGTTCTCTGGAAAGTTCCAAATTCTTCTCATCTTTGTTCGACATTGTCCACAATATGCCACACATCTTCTCCCCGCATTTCCTGCAAACATCGCTGACAAAAATTTCCAAATGCGCGGCTATAATAGATTATGTTCTGTATGGGCGATAGTCTTGATTTTGCAGTCTCTTCGTGATATAAATCTTCGAGAGTATAAATTTGGTTTATGCTCCTTCGTCTGGTTTTCATATCCACGTCAATTTTTCTTTTCTCGCGCTAAGTTAATTCCTCATTTGGAAACTCAATCCACTATTTCGTTTCTTGAGATGCCATTGTGACCAGGAACCCTGTAAATGTGCCTTCGCTTCTTTGCTACTGCCTTATTTATTGCATCCCTGCTTCTTAGAGCGTTTTTGGATGTAAATTGTTATTATGAGCAGATCGGCTTTATTGCTGCCTTATCGATGCTGACTTTGAAGTTGCTATCTGTTTTTGTGTAGGTCAGCTGCCCGACTGTCCGCATTAAAAAATTGTATCTGAATATCATTGAAAATTTGCAATATTTATTTTCGAAAAAAAAAAATATATGTATATATGTTAAGGAGTAATATACACATGACCAGGTACTCGAATTTCGTCCTTCTAACTTTATTAGCTTAAAAATATAAATAAATAAAGCGAGAATTTTCAATACCTATTCGTTCTTGTGAATCAAAAAACGTTGAATTTTTTAATTCTACGGAATTTTCTCTTTAATTTAGTACCCCCATTGATATTCTACATTGCATTGATTTTTTCAAATAACTTTTTCAAAATATAAAAAAAAATTTCAAGATTCTTTTAAAAAATCCTGACTTCAGAGAGAAAACCTAAAAACGCATTTATATTGATTGTCTAGATTTTTTTTTGTCGCACGTAAATACACATATGTATACATAAGTGAAAGTAAATTGTCTGTCCTATTAGGAAATGTACAATGTGAAATATGTGTATATACATATATCTATATATCGCAAATAATGGAGAGATAAGCGCCAATCAGGCTCCGAGGAAAAAGCTTTTCATTTCATTCATATTTACAAGTGGTTCATATAATGAAAAAGTCGCTTTGTCTGCCATTTTATTCATATGTAAGTATGCATATGTATGCCTCTATAGGCATGTATGTATGTACGTAAATACTTATGCATGTACAATTTTTGTATACCTATATACATACATGCCTACCTTTCATATGTATAAATATTTATACATACATACAAACAAACGAAATATCTTTCTTTCACATTTATAAGAAGTAATGCTTCGAATTGACTGGACATGGCCAAAGTCAATAAAGTAAACACTCGTTGATTTATTCAAAAACTACCACAACTCAAAGAAAAACGGAATTTTCGATCTAGTGATGCAGAATTACTCGTTATAAACTGCTGGTCACACATAACTTACCACCACTTTTTTTAAATACCCAATAAATATTTAAGTTTGAGCTCAACTTGAGGTTAAGTACAGAGCTAAGGTATTTCTCAAATCTCGAACATTGTTTCTCAACAGCGGATACTTCAAGTGGTGGATAATAGCGTTGTTCTCAACTTGACCTCCAATGTGATTCTCCAATTGGTCTCGAACATATCATTGAAATACTGAAATTAAAATAGTTAAAAGGTTTAACCTTTTTGATTCAAACGGAATAGATAAATTTAAATATTAATTTTTTATTTTTTTACTACTTTTTTAATATGTAGTTAATCAATATCGCATTACACATATATCGTATTCACAGTCAAGTTTTCAGTCGTCCGTCTACAGTCCGACAGTAAGTCTACCATTTGATTCACCTTTGTGTTTTATTTTAACTGACGACATAGGGCCGTATGCATAACAACTAAGAAATTGCTTTTTCTTAAAATTTCATACCTTTCACTTATTTTTTACTTGAACAAATCGATATATATCTTTAGTTTTTCACTTGATAATTAAAAATTCGTCTGTCCAACACTTTTTACGTATCTACGCGTCGATTTTATACTTTCGAATGCATATGTTTTGCCAACGCTGCCATTTGCATATTTTTTTTTTTAATTAAAAGCAGTGCCACCATGTTGGAGAAAATTGTTTTTATCAAGTTCATCTCGACTTCCAGCCAAAATCTAAAGATGAGTTGGAGACTGATGTTGGATATCAACTTGAGAAGTATGAGTTTCTCCAAGGTTGGAGAAATATTTTCTTTAGTGTTTGTTGGGTACGTAGAGTCAAGGGAGAGTCAATTAATAAATAAAAATAATAATTTTTGTTAAATATACTAGTTTATACCATAAAAAAACTATATATAGTAAATCAAAGTTTCAAACTTCGTACGAATTAAAAAAAAATTAAAACTTTTTTATCAAAATTTAAAAAAAAATTTTAGTTTTAGTATAATAAGTGCAAGTAAGACTAAATTCTAGTTCATTGTATGGAAAAACTGCGTAAGACCGTCAGCAAAAAAAAAAAATGTACAATCGTTTCCTACAAATTTTGCTAAAAGAGTTGGAGTTTTTATAAAATTTTTTTTGCTTTTTTTTGTACAAAGTTTGAAAACTTGATTTATATAGTTTCTGTTATAGTATGAACTATATTAAAAAAAAAAAAATTAATTCACAAAGTTCTACCTCATTAAAAAAAAATGGTGGCGGTAACTTGTGTATTTTAGTAAATACGCGAAATGCTCGTTAGAGTGGCCGTAAAAAAAATGTATATATACATATACCCCCTATTATTTAGTTAGAAAGCTTATACAATTTTCAAGCCTAATGGAGCTAATTTCATCATACCCTCGATAATTTGCCGGTAAAAGTCGGTTCTTAAAGTATGATAAATCGATGCTCTTCTCTCGAGGCCATAATTTCTTTTGTTCCAAACTTCTTTAACCTCAAGTACCCCGTTCTGGTACTTACCCTCCTGATCTCAGTTCTTATCAGCCACACGTATCTCCTTAACGTCAGTAGATTAAAGCTCTTCAAGCAAAAAACTTCTGCTAAGGAAGTATTCTAGTTCCAGTAGGACTATTTTTAAAAAATGTTTCATTGCCGAATGTATATACAGTGCCAGCGAAAAATGTAAAGAGACGACCACTAAGTTC